TTCCACACAGGACGTGACACCGAGTGCTTTCGGCTTCCGGGACACGCAGTCCCCGGCGCGGCCACTCAGCTCTCAGTTCTGGTGTGGCACGGCGGCCGCCAGGCCAGCCTGGGATTGAAGGCCGTGGCCATTGCCAGTAAAACTCTGCTGACAAGAACTGGCATGGCCAGGATTCCAATGTGGCTCACGTGGCTGCTTGTGCCCGTCTGAAGCCTGACCCCCAGCAATCCAAGGGCTCCAAGTGAACAGCGAGGGAGTCCCATTGCCATCAAAAGACCAGGCACCCTGAGCGCCACCTGGCCCACACGAGGTGCCTGACAAAGGTCTGGGAGCCCTGTGTGAGGACCTGCAGGAGCAGACCCCACACTTTCACAAGCCCTGACTCCCAGGGCGAACCCCAGTACCCAGGTGAGCTTGCTTGGCACCCAGAAGCAGCACCAACAGTGACCCGGGACACAAAGGGCATCCCATCTCTCTCACGGGCCCGGCTGCCTGCCCAGAGCCTTCTAAGGGCTTCACCCCGCAATTCTCGATGTAGCCCGGTAGAAAGGCAGACATCACGCCCACTTTACAGACAGGAACGCTGAGGCCACATGGCCCCCGGTGGCGTGCGATGGAGCTGGGTGTAAACCCGGGCAGGCCGGCTCCCGAGGCCTCTCCACCGGGACACCGAGGCTGCAGCAGTCACAGTGCCTGAGCTGCATCCTGGGAGGCAGCCAGGGCGGGACAGAACGGGGAGCTTCCGTCCCCAGCATCCTCAGCCTCCGCCTGGACCCTGCTGACTTGCCACAAGAGACACCACAATCCCACTGACACCCTCTTCATTTCTATAGGATCTTGCTGTCACCCAGGCATGCAGTGGCACGATCACAGCTCACTGTAGCCTCGGCCTCCCAGGCTCAAGTGATCCTCCTGCCTCAGCCTCCTGAGTAGCTGGAAACAGGGGTGCAGGCCATTACGTCTAGCCACTTGTTTTAATTTATTTTTAAGCACAGACAAGGGTCTTGCTGTGTGTCGCCACACCAGTCTCAAACCCCTGGAGTCAAGTGATCCTCCTGCCTCAGCCTCCCAAATGCTGGGATTACAGGTGTGCGCCACCACGCCTGGCCTTTTACCCAGACCACCACGGCTATAGGGGAGGCCCTGGTGACGGTGCTGACTCCCTGCCCGGCCGCCCTGTGACCACACTATACACTGCTCCAGGCACGCGGGGCCTCTCGGGGGCCGTGCTCTCTCCTGCCCACCGCCCACAGGTCTCCCTCAGATGCCACCTTCTTGGCAAGGCCTTCCCAACCACCCCATTCTGCCTTGCCCTTCCTCCCTGGCACCGCCGCCCTCATCCGCCTGATGTTCGCCAGGATCTGTCGAGTGCCGAGCTCTTCCGCGCACAGGGGACGCCGCGGGAGTGGCACAGACGGTCCTGGCCCTCACAGAGCTCTCGCTCAGGAGGAGACGGTCAGAAAACACGTCAGTAGAGCCATATGTTTCAGGTGATGACACAAACAGGGAAGAGGAACCGCGAGGGCAGGGGGCGGAGGAAGGAGGCCGCTGTGTGATGCCAGCCAGGCCTCACGGAGAGGAGATGCTCCCGAGACACCTGGAGAGAGCTAAGGGCGCAAAGGACGCAGGAGAACGCGCACTCCAGGCAGGAGCACAGCCGTGCAAAGGCCTGGGGACAAGACTGCGCCCCGAGAGCAGGGTCCGACGGCCTGAGGCAGAGTGCAGAGGGGAGGGCGGGGAGGGCAGGGAGGCCCGGGGCAGGCTGTGCAGGGCCTGATGGGGGAGGGCAGGGAGGCCCGGGGCAGGCTGTGCAGGGCCTGATGGGGGAGGGCAGGGAGGCCCGGGGCAGGCTGTGCAGGGCCTGATGGGCTTCACAGAGGACTTGCTCTCTGACCCTGAGGGAGGTGGGAGCCATGGAGGGCTGCAGGCAGAGGAGGAGGCAGGACTTGGGCCACCAGTTTTTAGCAGGGTCCTGGGGGCAGAGGAAGAGCAAGAACGCCAGGCCTGGCTAGGGGGCAGAGGATGACCGAGCTGGGCCGGGGGCAGGCAGAGGATGGGGAAGGAGTCGGTGAATTCCGGGCCGATTCTGAAGGTGAAGCTGACACCACCTGCTGCCAGATCAGCCGTGGGAGTGGGGCAGGGCCAGGGATGGAGCTGAGCGTTGCAGGACATCACAGAGACAGGGCAGCCTGCAAGAGGCTAAGAGGCACCCAGGCCACAGCTCAGGCCAAACTCCACGATAGGCCATCGGCCCCCACAACCTTCCCAAGGCCCCACAGCCACCGCCCACGGAGACGCCATCCAGGCCAGGCCTCGGGAGCCAGGAGCCCAGGAAATTAGAGGAACCAGATTCGAAACCCCAGCAAGACACTACTTCCCCTCCCATCGGATGGGCCGAAATCGCCAAGGACGAAGACATCGGGAGCTAGCAGTGCCATGGGAAACGGGCAGCCTCCCTCCACCCCTTCCGGGCAAGGCTCCCGCTACACTGAGCTTTCTGGAAGGTGTCAGCATCGCTTCTAACAGTGAGAGGCGACTCCAGAAACCACCGGCTTGGGCCTCAGCAGGGTCCTGGAGGCATGACAGTGGAGAGGCCCGAAGCGGACAGCCAAGTGCCATGACAGTCACCAAGCATCAGCACCAACTCACCCCAGGCTCGGCCAGCCCCAGGCAGACACAGTCATCACCCCATTTTATAGACAGGACACTGAGGCCCAGGGAGGTGACAGCCATACAGCAACTGAGGCACAGAGCTGGGAAAGGGACCCCGGCAGGTCCAACTATGGGCTTTCCCTTTTTCTTTTCTCTCTCTGTCACCCAGGCTGGAGTGCAATGGCACAATCTCAGCTTGCCGCGGCCTCCACCTCCCGGTTTTAGAGATTCTCCTGCCTCAGCCTCCCGAGTAGCTGGGATTACAGGTGCTCACCACCACAGCCAGCTAATTTTTCGTATCTTTAGCAGAGACGAGGTTTCACCATGTTGGCGAGGCTGGTCTTGAACTCCTGACCCTATGATCCACCCACCTCGGCCTCCCAAAGTGCTGGGATTGCAAGTGTGAGGCACCGAGCCGGGCTTTTGGGCTTCCCCCTAACCACTGCTCAGGGCTCATCCTCTCTATAAACCGATATGGACACAGGGTGGGGAGAGTCCAGATGACCACAGATAAAAAGCAAGCAGTCCACAGGTCATCACTGTGTGGCATTTCTCACCAGGGCGCTCCAGCCCTCCAGGGGACACTGAACTGTGTCTGGGGTTACTTGTGGTTGTCACAACTGGGGGGTGCTCCTGGCATGGAGTGGACAGAAGCCAGGGACATTGCCCAGCACCCCTAAATAATTTCCTGGCTCAAAATGCCAAAGATGCCAAGGCAGAGAAACCCCAGCGAGGCATAAAACCATCTCGCTGAAAAATAAGCAGGCGCCTTTATGCACTCCCGTCTCTGCGGCCCAGACGAGCTTAACCTAAACTCACCAGCACTGAGGTCCGGAGGGATGGGGCTGGAGGGGTGAGGCCACTCTGGATTTTAACATCTCAGAGGCATTATATGGCCAGCTGGGGTCAGATTTCTGTCGATTTCAGGGACTGGCAGGGAATGCTGGCCCCTGACCTTCCAGCCCTCCCAACCCACCCACCCCCAAACTCTCACCTCACCCCCGCCCCCGCCCCCGCCCCTGCGCACAGCCCCAGTCCCGGTCCCGCAGGAGCCTGCGACTTTATCTGTCCCCAGCGCTCCCAGAGCCCCTGATAAGACCACTGGTCTTGGTGTGGTTTTCTTGTGGTCAGCGAGTCCCGGGCTACTTTTGTTTCTGACCAACTCGGGTCAGAGGGCTGATGGCGGAAGTCGGGGGGCCGGAGAAAGGAACCCTGGCTGGGACCCGCTGCCCTCCCCCACCTGGGCTCCTCCACCATGTCTCGTCCTGGTCAGGCCAGGCCACCGACTGTCCGCAAAGAAAGGGGAGAGGCCACCGGCTCGGGAGAAGGAACCAGGTCACCTACCAAGCGGTTCCAGATGGCCGCCGGGAGGGAAGCCACGAGTGTCTTTCAAGATTGGGGGGGGGGGACTGATGACTTCCACACACACACTCTCTCTCCAGACATTTCCCCCAACTCCCAGGCAGCACGCATCGCCCGCCTGCCTGCCAACCAAGGAAGCTTCGGGAGGCTGGGGGGAGAAGGAGGACGGATGCCCGTGTGGGTGTCTACAGAGACGCCGCTGCCGGCTGCCTGGGAGGAGCAGAGGATTTTGTGAATCCGGAAACTTCCGATCTGGGAGCTTGTGACCTCGACTGAGAAGGAACCGTTCCCTTCCTCTGCGCTCTGCACACCGTCCCCACAGAAGGGCAGGCCCAGCTGCCTGCACCCACCCGGCTGGAGGGCCGGGAAGCAGCCAAAGGGGGCACGAGACAGCCGTGCCCCCCGCCCAGCCCGCAGCCCCACCAGGTGTCCTGGGGGAAGGCTCGGGGAGAAGGAGAAGGGGTGACAGGGCACCCCTGTGTGCACAGCCGAGGCAGTGGAGGCATCTTGAAATGTCACCTCTCTCCTCCCCTCATTCTAGCACGGAGGTAAACTGAGGCCCAGGAGGGTGAGGAAAGGTCGGCGCACCCGGACCCAGGTCTGGGATTTGCAGAGAGGGAGGTGACATCAGGAGGTGGACACGCAGGGCCTCAGAGACCCCCGCATGCTCCACCCAGGCAGGCGCCACCCACAGGCCGGACAGCCCCGGGGAGCGGGTCCAGACAGGGGCCGGCAGAACCGGGTCTCCCGCGGCGCCCAGGCCGAGCCGCCCCCGGCCCGCGAGTGGTGGGAGGTCGTCCCCCGCAGGCCCCCCGCTTCCCGGCGCGGCCCCAGCCCGTCCTCCCCGGGGCTCCAGGGGGCTGCCCCGCCCCAGGCTCCCGGAACCCGCGGCGCCCCCACAGCCCCCGCCCCGGCCCCGCAGCCCCGCGACCCTCGGCGCCCGGACGCGCCCAGCGGGCCGCAGCCCCCGGAGGCCGGGCCGTTACCTGCCGCCGCCCCGCTCTCCGCCGCCCACGCCGCCTCCGAGGGCACGGCCCCCGCCTCGGCGCTCTCCGCCTCGTCCGGCACCTCCAGCTCCATGGCCGCGCGCGGACGGCGGCGGGGGCGCCGAGGGGGACCCGAGCCGCGGCCGCCGCCGCCAAACAACAAGCGCCGCCGGCCAAGAGAGGGCGCGCCTGCCGGCGCGGGGCAGACGGGGCGGGGCCTACGTGCGTGCGTGCGACGCCGCGCACCGCGCGCAGCCAATCGCGGCTCGGGGGCGGGGCTTGCATGCCACCCGCGGCAGGGAGCGCTTCGAGTGCCCCCATGCGCCCAGGGGTGGGAGGACAGCGCCAGGCTCACCGTTCCAGCGTGTTAGGTCAGAAAGATTGACAGGCACGACATGTATCAATAACATTGCTGGGCACAACGCATGCCAATAACATAGGCCTACACAGCACATGCCAATAACATGGATCCGGTCAGGTGCGGTGGCTCATGCCTGTAGCCCCAGCACTTTGGGAGGCCGAGGTAGGCGGATCACCTGAGGTCAGGAGGTCGAGACTAGCATGGCCAAGATGGCGAAACCCCGTCTCTACTAAAAATACCAAAAAAATTAGCCAGGTATGGTGGCGTGCGCCTGTAATCCCAGCTCCTCGGCAGGCTGAGGCAGGATAATCGCTTGAACCCAAAGGCGGAGGGTGCAGTGAGCCGAGATTGTGCCATTGTACTCCAGCCTTGGTGACAAGAGCAAGACTCTGTCTCAAAAATCAAAAACAAAAACAAAAAACAAAATTAACCCACATGGATCTACACAGGACATGCCAACAACAAATCCACACACTATACGTCATTAACACGAATCTACACAATATGTACCAATAACAAATCCACACTATGTGCTGTTAACACGATCTACACAATTGGTACCAATAACAAATCCACAAAATATGTCATTAACATGAATCTACACAATACATACAAATAGCATTGCTCTATGCAATACATGCCAATAACATTACATTGCTATACACAATGAATACCAATGACATTCATCCACACAATACATGTAACTAACACTGACGTATGCAACACACATTATTAACGCTGATATACACACTACCTGTCAGAACATTCACACACAAAAAACATATCAATAACAGTGATATACACAGCACATACAAATAACACTGATCTACACAACACACATTAACGTTTATCTACACAAAACATATCAATGACATTTGCAGTTAACTACCTATTTTTTGTTTTATAAAGACGGGGTTTCACCATGTTGGTCAGGCTGGTCTTGAACTCCCGACCTCAGGTGATCCATCTGCCTTGGCTTCCAAAGTGCTTGGATTATAGGCGGTAACTATCTGTTTATTGTCATACAGTAAATAATATTTTATTCCATCATTTATATTACATAGTACAAATATGTTATTTTCTTCATATTATTTTATTTTTAATAATGTAGTTTGATATTATAAGAAACATTCGTCAGGCCGGGCGCGGTGGCTCAAGCCTGTAATCCCAGCACTTTGGGAGGCCGAGGCGGGTGGATCACGAGGTCAAGAGATCGAGACCATCCTGGTCAACATGGTGAAACCCCGTCTCT